TACTGTACCTCAAGGCAACTGCTTCAACGAGCATACCCACAGGCGATCACGAAAACCAGCTGAGGTTGCGTTGCCTCAAGGACTGCGAGTTTTGTGCCAAGCTTTTTGTAAACTTAGACTGTCGTGTTTGCAGACATTTATTACCTTTCACGCATTATCAAGTGTGTTCTCTACACTCTAAAAGTCAGTTTGCGTACCTGTTATGCAAGAAAAGTAGTCTCAAGAGGGGAGAATATTCTTGACTTTCTGTTAGTCATTTGGATTTGGTTTCATATTAACTAACCGTACTTATATTTAATAGATTCTTGATATTATTTTAAAGTATTTCATATTTAATGCATTTAAGTTTAATTTTGTTGTTGTTTATTTCAGACCGATAAGTATTCCGCTATAGAAAAATTTAAAGCTCTATATCATGCATTAATGTTTTACAGGTGCTGGCCGTATTTGAACTAATGGTAGCGTTCTCGGACTTTGAATCAAATTGTTTATGTTTCGCGTTCTGTGGCCGTGTTTCGCCTTTTGGAGTCATGGGTGCAGGTAAAGAATGACTGTTAAATCCCACTATTCGGTGAGACAGGAGTAGCCCAGCCCCTAATTTTGAGCTGATAAACCAGAAGGAAGGCAGCTAGTTAATAGCACCCACCGCCAACTACCCGACTATTCTAATTGAATAGTAGGATTTGACTCTAATAGTTATAACATTTGTAAAGGATCTTGCTGGATTTTTTTGTTACAAACGTCGCCCAGTCTTGGTTATATATTTATATAAACTTGTCTTACTCTATAAAACTGTATTTTCTATGTAAATTTTATAGTATTATTAAAAAGAACTTCGTTACTTATTTTCATTCCATGTCAACAAAATTACCCCAAAAATAAAACAAGGTCTCCACCCCTTTTATAGTAAATTTCACTGGGCACTCATTTTGCTCGAGGGGCTCAAAATTTTCGTTCAGCATGCAAGAAATAAATCAATGTGGTCACTGAGAATGAATCAATTTGTGGACGTTAAACCTATACGTAGGTAATACCTAAATGGAATACTTAATAATTACAAAATCGTGCATATGGATCTAAAAAAAAGAAAAAAGAATGATCAGGTTTGAATTTAACGCAAAGCTACACGAGGGCTACATACACTACCAGTCCCTAATTTAGAAGTGAAAAAGACTAGAGAGAAGGCAGGTAGCCACCGCCACCTTTTGGCTACTCTTTTACCAACGAATAGTGGGATTGACCGTCACATTATAACGCCCCCACGACTGAAAGGGTGAGCATGTTTAGTGGGATGGGGATCCAAACCCGCGACCCTCAGATTGCAAGTCGAGAGCCCTAACACCTGGCCATGCCGGGCCCTAAGATAAGTGAATTGAATAACAGAAACATTTATGCTAATAAACCATTTTAGAATTACAAGTTCTACAGTTTGGACGAATCTTTACAGGAAGTTATTTTGGTTAAAAAAAAACAAACTGTAATTAATGTTACATAGCATGTGGTGTTCTCAGATAAACTGATTTCCGCGCAAGTATTAAATAGGTCCACTTAATAATGAGAGGGGGGGGGGAGGAATCGAGCAGAAATTTTGCAAAGTAACCTATGGAGCTGGTTGCAACATTCCCACGAGCATAATATATACTATCGACTTACAATAACAACAAAGACACATCATATCATGGAATCCATTGATGCCTGCTCTTGGAATTCCAACAAATGTATGAAGCAGTAGAATATTGGTTTATTCTTAGAAGTGGTAACCCAAGACCTCCTTGCAGCCAGGTCTGGCAGGTTGTCCTGTTGTGACACTAAACAAGAGACCGAAAAACGTAGATGGGTGTGGCCCTCACAGAAAAAATTCTTAGGAGAAAAATCGTATTGGAATGATTTTTCCTGTGAACTTTTTCCCGATAAAAATCCAAGCTAGTTTATTTTTGCCTTTGTACTGTATACTAGACCTAGATTTATACTATGGCACTATGCTCTCGAGATTCACGTATTAGTGCTCTTTGTTGTGAGCATTGTTTTATAAACCATGTGTTGCAACGTGTTTTTATTGTTCTCCAGGCTCCTTTGTATAATTTGGTATAAATAATGGTAGGTCCAGTCCACGTAAGGAGAACGAATTAGATTATTTTTTCTAAAATGCTTGCTATAGAATGCATTCACTTTGACGTAAGTTGTAGGCCTAAATTCTCAAACAAACTTTTCAACATAAAATTTAAAACTACTGCAGGCCTATATACTGCTTCAACAACGATTTACGGAAATTTCTTCGATTCATAACAAACCTGACTAACATAATGATTAGCTTAAAAGAAGCAGTAAATTTTATGAATAGGTTTACTTAATCAATTTTTTATCATTGGTAGATATACACGACTGTGTTATTCAAATTGAATACCAGAGTTAAGCTCTAGATAGTTATGAAGGGCGAGTGTTAAACTTAGTATTTTTGGAAGCAATAATTTATCGCAGATTTGCTTATGTAACTGTTTACGAATCATTTGTTGCGTGGCTCAGTTGTTGGGAATTGACATCTTGCTACTCGAACCTTCTGAATTTTTCTCGTTGTTTTAAGTGAGTATTGTTACATCATAACTTCTCGTAGTTTACAAAAAAGGTCTAGATCTCAGTTGGACAATATATATATATAGCCGACCAGGTTATTGAAAGTGGAAAAGTGAAGTTAGACTATGTGTGAGCGTAGCTGTAACAGGCAAGTTATAAAGTCAGTTTCACAGCTTGTATTGTAATAACAAAGACAGAGGAAAATAATTTGTCTTGTTAAAGGATGTTCTAAAGTAATTAAACCCGCCTGTGTGGACTTTGACGAAAAGGAAACAATTATTTAAAACGCTGGATACAACTGTGGTAACCAAAGATTATAGTGATGATTTTAAAGTAAGTATCATAGCTTTGTATTGTAATAACAGAGTAGAGGAAAATAATTTGTCTTGTCAAGGGGGGTTTTAAAGCAATGGCACCCGCCTATGTGGACTTTGACGAAAAAGAAACAATTATTTAAAGCTCTGGATACAATTGTGATAACAAATAGTGTAACAAAATTTTTGTACATACGTTGGACTTGTTTTGAATATATTATTTTAAAACAAGTGGATTGGGTGCTGTTCGTTTATTGTTTGTTTGTTTGTAATTAAGCACAAAGCTACACAATGGGCTATCTGTGCTCTACCCACCACGGGTATCGAAACCCGGTTGTAAGTCAGCAGACATACCGCTGTGCCACTGGGGGGGGGGGGGCGTTTATTGTTGAAATTTATCATCAAGATGTCACAGACCCCTACTGTAAAGAATCCTGCCCATACCTATAAAAACCTGACAATCATTAAGAATTTTTACTGAATTCTGACTTCTACCAAATATGGGAATTTTCTAGATTCTAGGACTACTTTTATTAACATTCTTAATATTAACATCATGCGCCCTCTACTTAACATCTAAGTTAAAGCATTGAAAACATAGCTTACAACACATGTATGCCTGATTACATCGCCACGCTGACCTTTTGGTCTACTTAAACATAGATTTATACTATACCGTGTTATATGTTATCAGTGGTTCCTAATTTACAACTAACGGTTTAAACTTCCGTAATTGTGATCCATTATCAGCAAAAAACTATTTAATTATGATTGGCCCTCAAATAACGCTCTACAAGAAAAGTTGCAAACAAATATTTAATAAAAATTTGACTATTAAAAATAATTTGTCTTAACGTGATGATTACTCACTTCCATTGTACAAATCGAAGTATTAATTAAATTCAAAATATTCCTACTTCAAGGTTGAGTATTACCATTAATTTAGTCAGCGAGATTTTTACTGACTAGAGATATGAGTTAAGAATGGTAAATATTAAAAAAAAAGCCCAATTTGTTGCCAATTGCAAAATATCGTTCGTGGTAAAAACAAAAGCAGAAAACTGCGGTAAAATGCACCCAATCTGGCAACACTGCACACAGGACAAAGACAGAACAAATTCTGATTTACCACCCAAATTTACACAGAAACGTCAAAAGTGCGGTATACGAGAATTCAATGGTGCTTACGTTACTGACTGTTCCAAAATATAAAATTCAGATCAATCCCAGTTTTTCTCTGATGAAGGAAGATCTACCTTTCGAGAGCGTTCAAGTTTCCTATTTTTGTCTTAATAGAGTTTTTGAATCAATGTGTCTTGTTAAGATTACGATAACTTGTGTCAGTTTGTACATTCCCCAGATGACCAGACAAATGGGCAAAATGATCTGTATATATGGATAGCACTTAGCTGGCGCTATACTGAAACATTCAATTAGTACCACACCACAGACTGATTAGAAAGTGTTCTGTGAGCGCTTTCTATTCAAGTTTGTTTCATTGAAATCAAAATCATAGAATAAGAAATAAAAATACTTTCTGTAGTTGAGAGGTGACTATACTTTGTAATTTCATTGACTTGTTCTCACATATAAAGTGTGGTTTTATAAAAACATACCAAAGAAAGATTTGACGTTATTACATGTAATTTAGTTAACAAAAAGCGCGTAGTTTAAGTTAAAAAAAACTTCCGTGAGATAATATTACAGGTTATATTAGATACTTATTGTAACTCGCAGATAGAGAGATAACGATATGCCAAAGAAAATTATAGTTGAAAATTTTTAATGTTTGAATATATATATATA